TGAAACTCAATTGTATATAAACCTGTAAATGAATAGTATAAGGTTATGGTTAGGATGCAGGTATAAAAGACATGCAGTACATATTCTTTTACCAACATATGCAGAAGCTATACTATGTAATTATTCACTATTTTTTGGTGGTAAAATTTTTCCTGGATTAAGATTGAGATTTAATCTGACATGACAAAAAAGATTTGGTGATATCAATAACAACTGTTGTCTATGTGTATTTGTGCTAAAAAAATAAGTAATCTCAACAAACTTATGATACGTCAATGATTCTTATCTGGACATTGGCAGGACTTTTAGTGGCTCATGATAATTACTCCATAGCCAATCCTAGTGAATGGTGGGCTTATGGGTAAAGATTGTATATGAATCTACAATTTCATATCTGTTCTCTTTTGGTATTAAGTCTTATAGTTATGTATTATGGGTGAAATTATTTTTGAAGCTTGGATCTGTAGCTAGGGTTGCTATTCAGACTGGGATAATTGGCATAGTTGTGTGCACGCCAATTCGATTATGTACCTGCGAAAATCATCGCTCCTTAAGAGCTATGTAACTTCCTTCTAACTAAGTAGTTATTCTTTTGTTTTTTTGGCTTGGACTTACCATCTATGTCTTTCTTTTGAAGTTTTCAAATATAAGTCTAAGAGAACTTCTATACATGCATATAAATACATTTCATAATAGAATTATGTAAAATCGTCTAATTAAATTTAGTGAAAATAGCATCAAATAGCATCGTTAACAGTTCAATATATTTTTGTTGCTTAGTTTTTCAAGATCCTTTACTATCCCACATATATGCATGATGCATTATATTGTTACCAAAAGTCAGATAAGCACATTGATGTGAATGGCATGTATATTGAAATTATGTACGACTAAGTTGGATTATGACGAACTTCTTAAAGCATAAAGCCTTTAGGATAAACTAAGAAATTATAGTTTTCATAACAATGAGAATTACTAACATTCAAAAGACCTGTTACTAACACTTCTTTCATGCATATTTATGTTATTAGTAATGTGTGCATTATGTACAGAATGAGTTAACTTACATGCAATTATTTTTCCAAAAGGCTGATTCTTTTTCAGATCTTGCATTAGCTGGAACAATTTTATTTGGAAAACTCTGCATATGATATCAACCCGGTTGTCATCACTCTCTTGTCCAATTAAACGGAGCATTTCATTTATTTCTGGCCACTTTGGGTTGCAAGTGAAAGTAAGGAACAAATCCGGATATCCCGCCCACCTACAAATTGCCATTGCATCTTGATAATTTTGCACCCTATATCGAGGTCCCCCAGTGTGTGAAGAAGGCAAGATAATGGTTTTCTCTATCATTGAACAATCAGAATCACCTCGGACAATAGCATCCATCAATCCAGAAAATATATCAGCCCTGAGTTTTTTTTGATTGTTCCGAATATAACGAAATCTTTCTTCTTCAATTGCCATGTAACCATCCACAATGTATTGCTGCAATAGTCTACCAGCTTGTAGAAGAACTGTGCGCTTCGTTAAGTCTTTGTTGTATCCTGAAGCAGTAGAACTGTCTCATTGTCAATTTTTCTCTCGCGAAAGTTTTTTTGATTACATCTGTCAAAAGAATTCCAAGCCTATATCCATCTTCACCATATGGGTGTATTAATGGGTAAGTCATAGACATGAAACTTGGGTGTAAATCTGTGATTCTTTGAAGTCCGTTTTTCCGATGTTCTACTATAACATCTCGCTGGAAATTTTCATCAGTAAGATCACCAATTATTAGTCCTGCAACTTCAGAAGCTGTGGGTATATTGTATTGTCGGCCATCTCTTATCCTATCGGATAGTAGTCGTAGACGAAAAACAGATTCAGGATGTTGTTTATATCTATCCCTTGCCATTCGAAATGTTTTTGCCAAAATATTATGCTCGTCCAGCATTTCAGATAAGCCCTGAACAATTTTAGGATCAACTTCTTCATGGAGCAGACTATTCATTCTGTTATGTATCTCATTTTCAGTATCATATATATAGAGCTGGGCAAACTGTGGTTTTTTCCCACTTTCCGGCAACAGAGAGCCAATGTGATGATAATTTTGACCACTCATCCTGAAAACATATGGGCCCTTTGAACGATTGATGCTTTTGTCAACTCGGCCTCCCATAGATGTAAATGCGAACATAGAGTTATAAACTCTGATATTTTTTCGAAAACTGATACCAAGTTGTCCAGAATCTGTGCTTAAAAGATATTTGAGATAGGGCGGGGGTTGGCTCATTAACGGTAGTCTTACACGGCCTTCCATACAACAAAATGAGAATTTTGGCCGTGTTGTCTGTTTAGTTTTTTTTGTCCGTTCTTCATACCATAAAATGGCACCACAATATTGGCAGGTGTTTGTAGGAGGTCCAAAATTCCAACTTGTTGTATTATGACCTGCCAAATAGAAATTTCAATATCAATATGAACTGTCTTTCAAGTCTAATGTTATTTACATGTCTTGCAGATATATTAGGAGTTTGCGAGCTGTCTTTGAAGTCATTTAAGATTTGTATGTCAGTAGAAAGTGCAGAGAACCTCTAATGTTAAAGACCTCCATGTTATTGAGTATTGGATTGAAACAGGTCCGAAATGAGTGAAATGGATAATGAAGATTTATAGAGCCACACCAGCAAGTCTTTTCATGTTCCAAGGACAATTTATATTGCAAAGAACACTGGACATTCAAACTGAAGCCCATTGATTGCATTTTCTGCTAAGTTGAGCAACATGCAACATTTGTTCCAATTTGGTACTTTTGAATTAGGATTTAGTTTATTCAAGCAGAAATTGTATAGAATTGTTTTCCCCTTTGTGTTTCCATATCAGGAGACTTACTGTTTTCTATAGTATTTTAGTATGATATCTTTGAACATGTTATGCACAGATAATAATGTGCCTTTTACCCTTTAACTCCTGCTTTTGTTATGTTTGAAAATTTCGTAACAAACAAAAAATATGTACCTGTATTGTACCCAATAATGTGTACCTGTATGTTGAAGATTGTTTTGTATAGTTCTACTGCTTTGAGAACACATATAAACCGATACTTCATTTGCTTCGTCTTTTGGTGTATGATGTCGCAGGATACATAGGTCTCCTGCAATGTATTTACAAATATTCTTTAGTATATAAAGTAAGATGCGAACTGCAAGAGATGTCGCTTCGCGAAAGCAAATATGCGTAGAATATTTAGATGTACAACAATACCACAATTTGGGATTCATGGTGAAAGGATCCAGATGGGATTAGATTATGTACAAACCAAAGAAGAGACATAATTTGTTCAATGGTGCTACTGGAATTGAAGCATCATAAGGTCCTGCTAATCTTATGAACACCACTATTCTAGTTTTCTATATTCACACATCAATTTAAGAGTATAAATAACCACTTAGGCATTATCGTTAAGAGAGATATCTTGATGAGTAACAACATACCATTTTGTTGAGTGAACACGTGTCTCCTTATGCAGTGTCGTAACTTCATCAATTTTGTGAATCATTTCACAAATAGTAGTAGCAGGAGTATTTTCTTTTGTGGCTGATTGGCATATTTCTTTTGAATTAATACGACCTTCCGCTTCAATCTGGCATAATGATATCTGCGTTTTTTGATATCAATCAATTCATCATTCTTCTGGTTACATCGAACTGTTGTTGCATATCTCTTCAGTTTTATTTTAAGCATCCTCTCTTGCCGAGCTAAAACTGATAGAAGCTGCCGCAGTAGTGTAATTTCCGGCTGAACATTCGTTGAAACATTAATTTTTTTAACAATAGCAGATACCAATTCCATTAAACCTGTTATAAAGTATTGAAAAAATTGAATATATTAAAATTTGAAATGTTTGGTGAAGTCAGATATTAAAAATAAATAGGTCACAAAGATGGTTATGGGATGTGCAAATCAAATTATTCAGTGCAAAAAAACACAATGGAATATTGACAATAAGGACTATGTAGCATGTAATCTTGAACAAATTTGTAATTGCTATTATTAACAGGTAAAATATGATATTTCCGGAAAATTAATTGCATTTGTGGCGTTGATATATTCAATGCAAACAGATTCTCAAGAGTATGCCAAGGCAAAATGATAAATAAGGATTATACCCAGTTTATACTTGAGCAAATCCAAACAATTCTTTCTTTGTAAATAGTCAAAGTAATAAAATCTAAGAAGAGACGAAGAAATGACTGGCTGCTTAACAAAAGAAAGAAAGAAACACCTTGCATAAAATTAAAAATTGTAATCACATAAATATATTTTAAATAGAACAAAAATGAAAATTTCGATGAAGAAATGACTGACTGCCTGACAAAAGAAAGGAAGAAACACCTTGCGTAAAGATAAAAATTTTGATCACATAAATGTATTTCAAATAGAACAAAAATGAAAATTTTGGAAGCCAACGTAAAGTAAAACACACTAAGCGTATGATGTTAACAAAAGTGAAGTGTTAGTAATGCTGCAATTT